TGCTTTATTTTAATTTTTGCAGAGTAACAATTGTCAATACCTCCTAACAGCTTATCTGAAAATAATGACATTTATTATTACAAAAAAAAACTGATTTTGTAATTGAAGATTATGAGATTTCAGTAAATTGTGTCCTCGCCTGATGAAAGACAAAATGGTGAGTCTAAAACTTTCATACTTTAATGTGATTATTCTCAAATTTGTATATTGCTTGGGGTGCGGGCAACCTCTATAGTTAAGGACACGATATTACCAGCTCAGGGATTTTACTGAATGAGTCAGAAGATCAAAGGGGAACATATAATTGCATGAATAGTTCATTACTCCATGCCAGATCATCAAGAATATCAAAAGACTCGGTTAGGTGATCACGTGCCCCAATAATTCCATTTTAAGTATGCATAGCAATCGATTTAAATATAAAATAAATTTCATCTGACGATACAAAAATATACTTACATTCTTTCGCCCTAAATGTCCTCAAAATGTACTTTACAAATCAGAATTACATCCGCTATACCATGGGTTATGAAGCTTTTTAAATTTCGTAGTTGTACTGCAATTTTGACTTTACTGAACGAGTACGAAGATCAAAGGGGAACATATAATTACATGGATAGTTTATTACTACCTGACGTATCATCAAGAACATCAAAAGACTCGGCTAGTTGATCACGTGCCCTTGCGACAACCTGCAGTTGTGAAGCTTCTGACAAACTGAAATGATAAAATAATTCCATTGTAAGTATGCATTCCAATCGAGTTAAATATAACATGAATTTCGTTAGACGATAAAAAATATACTTACATTCTTGCGTCCTGAATGTCCTCAAAATGTGCTGCAAATCATAATTACATCAGCTATACCATGGGTTCTAAAGCTTGAATATACATTTCGAAGTTGTACTGCAAGTTCGACTGGATTCCAATTGCAATAATATCCTACTTATTGCACTCAAAATGAAATGATCGTTATATTCCATAGCGTCTTTTTGATAATTGCAATTGAAAAAGTTCATATTTTACCCACATTATGATTCCAAACATTCAATGACAGAAGAGAAAAACATGTGCAGATGAGTCAAGACGCTTTCATCACTGCTCAAAACAAATGTACTTCATGTGGAATTCACACAGATAAATCCAGTCCATAATCACAAAAATTAGTAGAATCGACCAAAATACCAAAAATCCACTCATTCCAGACCAAATGGAAAAAAAAATTTCATTTATTCTCAATATGGCTCTAAATTTCAATTTTGTAGGCCAGAACGATAATTTCTTTTGAATGTGATGTCAAGCGCGCGACTATGTTTTAAGTTATGTGCACATTAATATTGTTGTTGTGTCTCGATGAATCTGTAGTTGTTTATTTTTTTTTTTTGGAATACAGCATAAATTCAATTATTCTGTTCCTTGTAGTGTATTTTTATCTGTAATTAAGCGTTAAGTAGAATAAGAAAACGAGTTTATAATAATAAGGTTACTGAATTTTGTATTGGAAAACATGAACTCGTTTGTCCGATGGAAACAGCAATAAGAAGTAGTTATAAGTGTCAAGATACTTCATCAACAAGCAATTATAGCTATCAAGATACTGCAATAGCAAATAACTATAACTTTCAAGATACTGCAATGACAAGTAATGAAAACGCTCAAGATACTCCAATAACATGCAATGAAAACTGTCAAGATACTGTAATAACAATTAAAATTGTCAAGATACTGTAACAGCTAATATAACAGTCAAGATACTACAATAACCAGTAATTATAACTGTCAAGATACTGAAATAACAACTATAATCATCAAGATGTTGCAATAAAAATGCTTAAAATTTAAAAGATACTGCAATGACAATAATTAAAACTCTCAATCTATTATAATAACTACATATGTCAAGATACTGCAACAAGTAATTGAAACTGTCAAGATACTGCAATAACACGTAATTGAAACTGTCAAGATACTGCAATAACAAGTAATTAAAACTGTCAAGATACTGCAATAACAAGTAGTTGAAACTGTCAGTATACAAATATGTCAAATACAACTGCCAAGATACTGCAATAACAAGTAATTAAAACAGTCAAGATACTCCAATAACAAGGAAAGGAATGATTTTTATTCATATCTGTACATGACTTTTACAACCGTAAAGTAGACTCTATCTTACCAAATAAGTAAACTTAATTAATCTCTATTAACAGGATATTAATAACTTTTATGCTCGTATTTCGCATCTACATACAAAGATATACATAATTTTTTTTATCAAATTGAACTTAATGTCGAATTTTAACAGGACATTATGTATTTCAATATGACAAAAGCAACTTAATAAATCACTTACAATGTATTGTTCGTGTTAAGACTGGCAGGATTTGGCGCACTAGCGATGATGTTGTTCTCATCAGTCTCGTAAAGTTCGTAGACAAAGACTTTCAAAAAGGCAAAGGACTCGTTTAGTGCAAATAGTCCTGAAAAAAAAAGGCATTCATAAAATATAGCTTGTAGTCTTAAAAATTTGGACAGGACATCGCATGTGCATATATCAGTGCATTGGGAAAAAATATATGATGTAAATACATAAGACATAAAATAACAAATAACATGATATCTAAATCAACCGAGTCACTAAAAGCAAAGGCATATATATCTATGGAAGGCATTTGGACCCAAGTGGGCAGCCCTGGGTTAGTATCTAAAACATTTATAATTACTTTTAGATTCTTGATTAAAGATTATTTAACATGATTGTTTGGTTTTTATATCTTTTTTTTTCTCTGTGGAGGTGTTGTTATTTTAAGACTATGACAGAGCATCTATGTTCAATGTGTAACATGGCACTAAACTGCACTTAGTATAAAATAAAAGAAAACTTGGTCTCTTTGCACGGTTAAAATATTGTTGCCCAGGCAACGATAAGTCTTTCATTATTAAATGACTTTATGAAACTACGTACAATTTAATAAAAAAAAACAATAGAAATAATTTTTCATCTGTTCCGAATTTGATACAATAATCTATTTATATTTCGGGTTATATTTGATGTAAATAAACATAGGCAATCTTACGAGTCGGTCTTGCCCTTCACAAACAGCAAAAAAGAAAGCGTCTTGATAACATTTAAGGAATTGCTTCTGCAACAGGGGTAATCAGCTATTTGTTCCACAAGGCTTCCAAAAAGATTAACCTTACTGAAACTGAAAAATGTACAGTATACAAAAATAATATAGTAAACACCTCCTTAATATCCCTCCTGTGATCAACATTAGACAGGACAAAGAGAATGCTGGATGACTTCCCATAATATTCTCAAGTGTCAGCACCTGACTTTAAATAACAAATCAAGTGTCAACATTTGATCTTTATATAACAGTCAAGTGCTAGTATCTGACCTTAAAATAACAAATCAAGTGTCAGCATCTGACCTTTAAATAACACGTGTCAGCATCTGACCTTTACATAACAAATCAAGTGTCAGAACCTAACCTTAATATAACAGCATATATATATATATATATATATATATATATATATATATATATATATATATATATATATATATATATATATATATATATCAGCAATTGACCTTTATAAAAAAATTGCAGGTCTGTTTCGATATCGCATTTGTGATTCTTAGAATTGAAACAAAATATGTTCGTTCCACTTAAAATAATATTTAGACTTTATAAACACACCGTAACAAATAAGTATGATTCTAATACAGTCCATCTTTGCTAGCCAAGGTTCCGATATGATAAACCTGTCTACACCTTGGCGGATCGAACAGATATATTTGGGCTTTGTCCTAGCAACATCTACTAGATTTCACGAGTTGCCTCCCATAGCATGCAATGCCCTCTAAGCAATATCGTGGTACGTCGTACATCGACTGAAAATAGTGGGGGCAATTGAACTAAAAAGGTTACTTTCTTTGTTTACCATAAATAGTATAACAATGTACCATAGGGAAGGCATTACAGGTGTATTTGAGTGAAATGTATTATGCAAAGACTGACACGCGTTAGAAAAATTGCCTATTTATCAATCCATTCAAACTGTGTGCTCCGTTTGTCTCGATTATGTATGAGCAGTGTTCAAATTTAAATAATTTTGATACGCGAAAGTGCAGATAGGATTATAACATATGAACTTGGGCTAGCGAAGATGAATACAGTCTAAAATTGTACTGAATTCATAGAGCAGCTTTGTCCAACAGTAATGCGTAATGAATAAGCTGCTGTGTAACATCACTGTCAAATAGCTATCATGGGCAAATCAAATTTTAATCTAATTTTCAAATAAAAACCATCAGCTTGATTAAAAATGGATTGATAGCAAGTGACTATTCACGTCAACTTCTTTTTCTGTTTTTGTATGCGACATATGTGTATGTCTGTACACCATTGGGATGATTGTCAATTACAAAATTTGTTGAATGATTTAGAAGCCTAAATTTGTTGAATGATTTAGAAACCTATTTCCAAACCAAAAATTATCCTAAACATATTGATTCTGCGCTAAACAAAGCTGTAATCTTACTCAACATCAGACTTTGAACACAGCAAACTGTACAATAGAGAAAATATAATTCATTTTACAATACAATATAACTCTTTATTACCTAATATATGCCTTATAACTAATAAATATTGGAGTCTCCAAAATTTATCAAATAAAAACAGCATTAAATTACTTTGCAACAATAAACCAATTCTTGCTTATAGAAGACCCAAGAATGTGCAAGATTTTCTAATTAGAACTAAACAGACAGAAAATAAAAAAGACAATTCTCGTCATCAAAATTGAATATACACCGGTGCTCTCAATGTGGAAACGTAAGAGAAAGTACTTCTTTTAGTAGCGCTAATACAAAAGAAGGATTTTTTTTACGTTATAGCACTAACTGCATATCAACTGGCTGCGGGAGGTCGCGGGTTAGAACCCCTAGCGAGTCAGCGGTTTATGCAGTTTTTTATAGGTCTTTGGTATGACCCGCCCGAGGTTCTAACCCGCGACCTCCCGCAGCCAAGGCGGACGCGCTAACCACTAGGCCCCCAGAGTGGTCTCGTGCATGTGGAGAATAAATACATTGCAGTCGGACATTCCAGAGCACGTAAGATTTCTGTCATCAATACTAAAGCAAAACGGATACCGAATTCGACTGATTGACGAAAATAAAATACTGCAATGTTTATCGTTTGAAAAGAGGAAAATGTCACCGAAATATTCAGTTCAAAACAATACTAATTTTGGACACACCGGATACCACCTTTTTTATGTCGGAGAAGTCTGCGCATAGCTTTAAAAACATCTTCATGTTTGTTTATCTATCGGGGTATGGAAAAATGAAGTACATTACTTTAGACTGTTAGGTCAGGTTTATAGCTGGTTTTACAAAATTCAATGTAACAATGCAAATAAATGCCAAATGATATTAAGCAAAAAACTAGACTGATCTTGTAAAAAAAATGATTATTAAAGTTCAACATCTTATATAAAATAAAATAAGCTATCATGCTGAAGAGAAACAACGATGTGTTTACAATGCCTCGTTTTTGTGGGCAAACAAAAATAGAATTTAGAAATAACCTATACGTTAGGAAATTTCTTGAGAATCCCATTCTAGGAGCAAGTTGATAGTTTGGATAGCAGACAATGCGCCTGGGACCAGTGGCGTCACTAGGGTTGGTGTCACCCTTTGCGGAAACTCATGGTGTTACCCTCATAGACCTCCATCCTGCACAAAAATTCAACAATTTTAAAGACAGTCATGTGCGACAACTCATAGTGTGACCCCCCCCTTCTTCCTGAGCAAAACTTCAAAACGTTTATAGACAACCATTTTGGTGTCACCCCCTCCGATTGTTACCCGGTGCGGTCCGCACACCCCAACCCTCTCCCATCCGACACTGTCGAATGCAAGAAAATGTCTCGCTTTTTCATTTGTATATGCAAATAAGAAAACAATGAATAAATGCATAACTAATTAAAGTAAAAGTAATACATAGGCTCATCATCGTACTCGAGGCAATTAAGTTCGGTAAAAAAGACAATCATTTCAATTTTCAATTTTAACAGCATTGAAGTACAACACTGTGTCCACATTATTATTGTTGATGGAATATTAATGTATTCAATTGGATGTCATACAAGATGCATTGTTCTTTTCCTCGGTTTGTGAGATTGTTTGTTTGTTGACTTTTATTTTTTTGTGGATTTTATTTTTGTTGTTTTTTGGGGAGAGGGGTTGTTTTGTTTTGTTTTGTTGACGTTGTTGTAAGTTTATCGTTGAAGGCCAGTGCACGTGAAAAAGAAATGCATATTAATATCAGAGAAGCCGTTTCACGACGCAGTGTTAAGTTTGCACACAATTTTCTTAAGTTTCAAACGTAAGAAACTCTTATGCTTTTTCGTGTGTTTCCCAAAGGTATCCGTTGGAACGTATAAGAGATTTGTTTTCGTAAGATATACTTTTTTTTTTGTACGGAAAGTAGATAATAACTCGGTACAATATAATATGGCACGTGCAAGATACTTACTCAGGACAGCAAAGAAGACGACAAGCAAGAGAAATTAATTGACCAAAAATATTGAGCAACAAAAATGCCTTTTACATATCGAGAAACAAATGCCTTTTACGTAATGATCATATTGAATTAAATATAGTGTGTGAGAGAGAGAGAGAGAGAGAGAGAGAGAGAGAGAGAGAGAGAGAGAGAGAGAGAGAGAGAGAGAGAGAGAGAGAGATTTTACTTTACAGCCCCAAGGCGCTGTAAGACTTGCACCATCCATCTACCTTCAAAAATAAAGCCTTAAAACCAAATCCTTTAAAGGTCGTTAATCTTTTAAATAATATCACAGCTGTAATTTAATTTACTTGTTGAAAGTAGAAGAGCTAACCCCATATTCTTGGGCTGTCTATAGCAAAATGATTTCTGAATAACATCACTCTATAAACTTTTATTTCCTTTGAATTAACGCCAAACCAAGTCCACCATTACTTAGGAGAAGGTAAAATTGTTTTGTATGCAATCCATTCCGTCGGCAACAATCTTCGGAACTTACTTGATATTCATCACAATACTAAGAATTATAATAATAATTATTATTGTGCGTATGCTTCAATTAGTTTCACTGAAAGACCAGCATTTCTGAAGAAAGAAAGAAAGTCACCTGCACTTAACCACCATTTTGTTAATAGGCTCGTCAAACCTTGGAATATAATTACATTGTATAAAGTGGAACAAGAAGTAGCTCCAGCTGGTTAGAATGAGGGATCGTCTCAAATTCTCTCTCTCTCAAACACACACACAAACACACACACACACATTCTTTTAACATATGATTAAGGAAAAATAATAAGCATATATTATTATATTATTAACTACTTAATAAAAAACGTTTATTTTTTATGTAATGATTCATTAATGCAAAGAAATACAATTTTATAAAATATTAATGTTTACTTATCCAGCAATTATATTGAGATTCGTATAAACAATGAGTAGTTTAATCTTTTTATCTGCTGTAAAAACTAAAGTCTACAAGTTCTGAAAAATTATTACATGTCCTAGACTTTAGAAACTATATTTCTATATTTGTGTGAAATAAAACAATCTGCACTAATAAAATTTAACAAAGTAATTAAATATTAAATAACACACTCACACACACATACTCACACACACACACACACACAAATATATATATATATATATATATATATATATATATATATATATATATATATATATATATATATATATATATATATATATATATATATACAATTTATATTTCCCTTGCCTTCCGTTTCTGTCTGTCTGTCCCAAGAACAGTTTCGCAACAATGGGTAATAACTATTCAATATAGCAGAAAAAAAATTATGCTAATAATCTTTGCATGCTTACGTAGAAGGCCTAATATTATTTTTAAGGCATTACAAATTTCTATTTCTTGAATGCAAACCTTGTCAGAATAATTAAACAAGTACCACTTGATGTGATGTGATATAATTATGATTTTTAAGGTAGCTTTAACAATTTTACAGTCATATTGCTACGATGTCTGCAGTGTGGCAATTCTTAGTGATGTTTAACACTGGGGCATCATCCCGCAGACATGTAGCATGATGTCCCACCCAGTCACATTAACCTTACACCAGGCCGACCAATCCTAACACTAAACTCTTAATGCTGAGCACCAAGCGAGGCAGCTGTTAGTAGGCCTACCATTTTTGTAAGTCTTTGGTATGGCGCGACCGGGGATAGAACCCACGAACTTCCGCGGACGCTCTAACCACAAGGCCACCAGATCGGCTCAGTACCACTTGAAGTCGACAAAGAAAATATCCCGCTTTTGCCCATTATTTTCAAAATAATGCCGATATTTTAAATAAATAAATAAATACATAAATAACTAAATGTAAGAAAAACAAACATTTTTTCCCGTTTCAAATATTCTTCAATAATACAGATTTCCCCTTCATAAATATTAGTTTCTTGTTTAACTGACAAGAGTTTTATAATCAAACAATCAAAGAGTCTACAAGAAAGAATTCCTAATATTCTAATATTAGCCGTTATTAAAATATTTATTAATTACGGATACTTGAGAACAAGGATATCTGATCTTGGCTATAATGGAGATGTTGCTGACGATGATGAAGGTCGCTTTAAAGTGATGTGAGGGTCTGGGGGTTTTTTACGGAGGGAGGAGACTCTTTTCGCGAATTTTTTTTATTTTTTAAAAGACATCGTGGCCATTTGTGACAGAGTGGTCCAATCACTGCCATATTACCTCTGTCCACGTGGACTCGAGTCTCTGGCTCGGTATATGTAGGTACGTGAGAAAACTCGCTATAAAATAGCTTATCGTGAGTACGTGGTTCCTTCCGGGTATTCCCGAATTTTTTTCCAATTTATTTTGACAGAAAGAAATTAAATTTCTATGGATAGGAAGTTCAAATAAAGTACACAAAGTGACTGCCAAGAATATCTTTTAGAGCGGAATATATCTTTTTTCACGTACCTTTAACATTCTCAATAGAAGTGGATGATATAGTCAAGCAAAAATAGGACAGCAAAATTAGAGAAGTTTTACTTTTACAGTAATCAAAACGATAACTTAACCCACATGGAAAATAAATAGTTGTGAGAAGCTTGGCCCAATATAAGTGTGACAAATTGGCGGCGTGCAAACCACACCAACCTCTTTCACTACGGTTCGTTGCTAGGGAATGACCTCCGCGGTGTGATTTACCCAGTGTGGATAGATAGAAAGAAGAATGCAGATCACTGAACAAGTATATTGAAGAAATAACAAAATGAGCCCCCTTTCAATGAACAAATATAAAATTTAATCAGTTTATCAACAAAATTTAAAATGAAAAGAAATCAATGACTTGGTTACAAAAGAAGGAAAATGGTACTAACATGTACTAAAAAAAAGACTACAAATTTCTTAAAATGTAAAATTACTTTCAACGTTAAATTACTATCTTCATTGCCAATGAGATGTGACCTTTGAGTGCAACGATGAGAGACTTCATCACCTATTTTATGCGGACATCAAGACTTCCGTTCGTCCCTGCTCTGTCGATCTTTGTCTAGCTGTTTCGTCTTGGACTCTTGTCCGTCGAACTCTGACTTAACAATCGTCTCTGGACTTAGATTTCTGCGTAGAACTTGTTCTGGTCCTGTGATTGTTCAGGGATTTCTCATGTGAATCCAGGAAAGCTGTTTCCTTTTGCCGTTTCTTTATTCGTTTCCACGAACCTCACGTATAGTCCGTCTCCTAACTTAGACAACTATCTGGCCCTTACTCTATAATGAATACGTACTTTTTACGAATTCAAAATGTAGAGTTTGCCTACTCGATGAGACAAAACTCTCGCTTTACTGCCAAATCACGAGATAACGTCTTACACGCTCTCCCGGAATCGTTTATCTTTCCTCGCGAAAGATTAAAGACTGCTGAATTTTTCTAAAGTAAAACCTTTAATTTCTTACAGAGTTACGCCCATAAATCCATATTAACCAATCGTAATAGACTG